TAAGGATTTGTTTTAAAAAATAATAATTTGATTATTTCCAGACCACTGAATATATATATATATGCTAAAAGATAAAGTCAAATGATTATTTGGGTAATATTTGTGGCTGGCTTTGATTAATTGTTTATTATGTGTCAGATACTGAACTAAATGCTTTATTTACACTCATGGAATTTATTAATCCTCCTGACATTCGTGTGTAGTTTATGCTAGAATGTTTCTCACTTAAAGGCCAGGAAAACAGTGTTTACAGAGATTAAGTAATTTGTTCAAGGTCAAAATCTGAGATCTGGGATTTGGACACAGAGAGCTTCATTCCTGAGTGAATGGTCATTAACACACAAAGGACATCCACCTGCACATGTATGGTGCTTTGATAGTCATAAAAGCTAAGAGTCATGAGCTAGGAAGATACCCAGCTGTAATAAGGTGGTTTACTAGACCGTGATACATTCACTTAATGTATGTTATATCTAAAACTTATTGGACCCAAAGTTTCGTGTTACAATTTTTTTTAGTGAAACATGACATTAACAATTACCACTATATAATAAAAATGTTGTATTTGCATTAAAAACTATAAAGAAATAAAAATCAAGCTATTAACAGATATCATTCAATAAGAGTATAGATTTGTACTTATTTCATTTTTTTATTTATCTTTTGCATTTTCTGTACTACACATTTACCTTTAAAATAACAGACAAGAAACTGTATTTTAAAAGTAATATCAACTTATAGAAACTAGAAAATGGTTAACTTATACATTGATCGTAATACAGTGATCAAGTGTAAGTATGAACATGATTAAGGTAATGTTGGTTATGGAAAGTATATGTCTAGCATATGCAGTTTTTTTAATTTATGACTCATGTGTAATCATCATTAAAATATTAGAAAATACAAATAAAAATCAACACGATGAAAATGAAAGTGAATTTTCCTAAATTGTATGTGTGTGTGTGTTCTATAAACCAGAGATAGAATTTCGGTGAATTTCCTTTCATACTCCTTCATCTGGAACTGTACACACACTGTTGTTTGACGAGACGGCTATGTATTGTTTTACGACTGGCTCCTTTGCTAGCACTGTGCTGTGTACTGTGGGGTATTCGTCAGTACAGATTTGTGTTACTGTGTTCTCATGGTCATGTAGGACACAGTTACACCATATTTTATATAACTGGTGCCCTGCTGTTGGGCATTGGCGTCATTTCACCTTTTTGGCCATTATAAATAATGCTTCAGTGCTTTTAAGATTTATTTATTTGTGCATACAGAACTGGGGTACAGGCCAGAGGCTCAGGGGCGGTGAGAGGCTTAACCAGACACAGAGCGGGGAGCAGAACAGGCAGATTGACGAAGTCCACTGCTGAGGGGAGCAGCAGGCGGGTCAGGAGAGGTCTGCCGCACTGTGTGGATCTCCTCGGGGCAGGCGGGGATCGAACCCATAGGGAAGTGGCTTTCACTTCTTAGTGCTGCGCTTTAACTAGCTGCGCCACCACAGAGGGCCCGCTTCAGTGCATTCTTAAGTTCAGTGCATTCTTAAGCAAGCCACAGAGATTATCAGCTATCGTACTGAAATGCCTGACTAAATTCAGCATCATGAGACTAGCTATTGTACTTGCTCCTGAGTTTTACTTGTGTGTGTACGCACGGGAGTCTTAGGATGACCCGGGACTTAGTAAAGTGTATTTAGTAAATGCACTAACACACATGTGTATTTTCGCCTTAATGTAAGGAGAACTCTACACCTGAAGACATGAAGGAAATGTCACCAGAAGTTGAGCATCAACCAAAAGTAGAAATTAATATGCCAACTGTTTTTGGTTCCAAGGTATGTAGTTATAGTAAAATTATTTCTAAAGGTGGAATTTATCTCTTGAAGACTTTATTTGTGCATTCACATGGATTGGGAAATCTTAGCAAAGATTCTGTCTTTATATAGACTTCTTTTGAATATAAAGGTAAAAAACATGCCAGTGTAACAGCCACAGTCATGCTGATGTTAGCAGGCAGTAAATCGATAGGTGAAAGTATTAATGTAAAATTCATTTTGAAATTAATTCATTTTTCATTCGTAGTTATAATCAGATATTTATCTGTACAATTATTCTTTTCTAATAAATCATGTGTATATTGTATATTTTTCTCGTGTTTACATGCTTTATTATCCAAGTGCTCCAGCAATAATACTGTAAATGTGACTTAACTAAGCGATAATAAACATACTGAATTGATGTATGTTCATATCTTCAGGTTTCTGAACAAAGCTATGTAGATGAGGCAAAGGAGAATACAGAGAAGATGCCACAAGGAAAAGATGGGGATGAATGTTTATTATCTGAAGGTCAACTTGCAGAAGACAATGTGACTTCTTCTGAAGATGAGACAGAAATAACTGAAGAACTAGAACAAGAAGGTACCTTTCTTTTTTCAGTTAGTAGCGTTTACTTAACTCTTCGCCTTATTTCGCTGCGGGTCTGTTCCTCACAGACCATCCTCAGCTCACTCTAGGCAGCCCTGGGTGGGTGGCGGGGACATGAGTCCTCTCCGGGCTGGAGCACCATGACCGCCTGCCCATGCTGCCGCTGGCCGTGCTCCGGGCATCTGGCCGGTTTCCTGTTCTCTCCGTTCAGTGTCATCAAACGGGGTTATTCTAGAAGACTGTACTTTTTCGAAAAAAGTAAGGACTCAGACCAAAAAGTAAAACAAACTTACTGCATGATTTAACTTTACTGAGTATCTAGAAAAATCAAACCCACCTGTAGTGACAGAAAGTCAGGCATTGGCCAGGTGCCTGGAAGGGCAGGTGAGAACAGAGAGCAGATCACAGAGCAGCCGAAGACACTTTGGGGTGACGGTCACGATTTTATTTGCCGCGATGGTGCAACAGAACTGTATGCTGAATGTAAGAAGAATCCTTTTAGCTCCCTAAATACATGCAATTTCTTATATGTCCGTTTTACCTCAACAAAGCTGTGTTACTGTAAAACGACTTTTTTCTGTGTGCCACAGACATGGCTCTATGTAAAATGAATTTGGAACTAGCGTAATATTTACAAATATGCCCAGTTTATAGACATTTGGTAGAAAATAGTAAGTGGGGAAAAAAATAGTACCTATGAGCATATGTAGAGTCTGGTGTATAAGAATGGAATACAGTGGTCTAAAGCCATTATTTCAAATACACTAAATATTTTTATAGCAATACTACCAATCAGAATGGTAATTATACCAAAAATACTTGATTATAATAACCTCTGTAGGAACTTGTACATAATCTTTGCGATGGAAGCCTTTTAAATATGTGCAAAGCTATGTAGATGTTTTTGGAAGACGATTTAAGAAGTGTTGAAACTACACAGCGTACTTGCCAAGGATCAGATGCCTTCAAATGTAAACGCTGCTTTAAAATGGTGTGTGTGGGTGGGGGGTGGGGGTGGCTGTGTGGTGTGTGTGGGTGTGCTTGAAGATTTGTTTTTAATTGGGGTAACACTGGTTTACAACACTGTACGATCAAGGCATGCTCACACCTCTTCAGACGTGTGTTAAGCACCATACCAGTCACCAAGTTGCCCAGAGTCAGGACAGTTTGACTTTTATATAATATTATTGGGTACATTGTCAGAAAGCATCTATAACCCATTCTTGTCTCTTAAAAAATTAATTTTTTATGTCATGCTACACAAGCTGTATTTTTATCTTCTGTGTCTACTAAATTAAACTTGAAATGTCCATACTTTTTTTTCTCTTTTCTAATATGTACTGAAAATGTAAATATCTTTGCTACTAACAGGGTCTAGACATGAGTGTCATATTATCCTTTTAAGGTTAGACTTACAGTGTAAGTCTCTCCATGTCACAAGCTAGGAATGTAACTGCTTAACATTTTCTTTGATGAGGTAGCACTGGTGTGCAACACTGTACCTGAGTCGGGGGTGCACGGTCACACCTCTTCACGTTCGCACACCGCACCCACCTCCAGGGCGCCGTGTTCTCCTCCGGAGTCCACAGTGCCTCCCTGCCTTCTTCCTCTGGTAGCCTCTGTCCTGCAGAGCACATATTTCTGTTGTTTCTCATTTCGCTTTGTCTGACCCTCTCTTTTGTTTCATCAAGTGAAGCATCTGGTGTTTGTCTTTTGGAGACGATGGTTCTCACAGGCGTGCGGTGTGGTGTATCATTGTGGTTTCAAGTTTGTATTTCCTCGATAACTAAGTGATGATGAGCTTTGTTTTCCTTTGTATTGTTTCTTCAAAGAAGAGTAAACTTAGTTCTTCTCCCCATTTCTGTTATTATATGGGGGGGGGGGCTGGCTTTTGTTGTTGTTTAGCTTCAAGAGTTATTTTAAGTCCCTTGTCAAATGTAAAGTATGCAAATATCTTCCCCCGCTCCGAAAGCTGTCTTTTTGTTTTCATAATAATTCTTTTCTGCTGTACAGAAGCTCTTCAGTTTCAGAGTCCTTTTTTTTTTTTTTTTAATCTTTGTTTTTGCTCCCCTTGCTGTTAGACTCCAGTCTCCAAAGACACCATGAAGTCAGTGTCATGGAGTGCTTTGTCTGCTTTCTTCTATGTATGGTGTCAACTCTTACATCCATGTCTATAACCCACTTTTAGTTAATTTTTATGGTGTGAGATAGTGGGGCTACCAGATTTAAACCAATAAAATTTTATTTTTTAACAGATGAAGAAGACAGATCAGCTTCTGACAGTGATGAGTGTATTATTCCGGCACCTATCTCCAAGAATACCTCACAGGTCAGTACCTTGATGCCAGCTAGGAATGTTCTGAAATATGTTTTCCATTCATAGTACATCAGTCATCATACATGAAAATCTTAAAGCAAAATATTCCTGGAAACATTTATAGTAATATCATAATGATCTAGTAATGATCTAGTGCAAGAAAACTTTATTTATATCTTCATTATGTAATTGGTGGAACTTAAAAACATTTTTCTTGCTTGCATATCAGTGAGTTTCCCACATCACCAACTTCAATAACTTGCTAAAACCAGTTGATTTCCCTGACTGCTTTCAGAACCATTGTACAAAAGTGTATTAAACCTGATCTTTAAAAAATTCAAAGTATGCAGAGCATTTAAATATTTAATAACTTTTCTAGGTGAACTCAGCTAAGTATATCTTTTTGTTTTCTGGTGAAAAAGTAAACCTTAAAAGGTAATTAATCTTTGGTAGGTACACCATTATTTGGTAGCATATTGCTTAAACATTATATGTAAATTAAAACTTTGAAAATTGGACTTTGAAGTGATGGTTTCCTTCAGCATTTTGTATCATAAGGGGGAAACTGATAAAGATATATTTAGTACTGGGAAAAACCAAGATGAGAGTCTGCCTCACACCTGGGACAGGGGGCATAGCAAAGAGCCCAGAAACAGCAGGTGCTCGGGTGGTGTGGAGAAAAAAACGGAAGCCCTGCAAGTTGTTGGCAAAAGTGTAAATAAAGGAAAAACTAGTTTTTTCTATTCACGTACAGTACTTTTCTTAAGATGATTAATGTACTCCTTTTTTTATCATTTTAATTTACTTTTCTGTTAAGAACTGCAATACTTTCAACTCTTAAATCTCCCGTTCTTTGCTTCCTCTCTCTACAGAGCAAGCCCATAGAGCAGCACTTGTCAGGTGACTCAGTTGGCACAGATGGCCTCAGTGAGCTAGAGAAACCCTTTATTTCTGTGAGTGATACAGACGATTCATGAATACAAATAAAATAGTCCGTTTAGCCAAAGTTTTTTTATTATTATTATCTGATTATTGATTTAACAATATCCTCTAACTTACAGCTTTCTAATTTTTGGAATCTTTATTGCTCAAAAGAAGTAAATCAACATAAGAATATATGATTGCCTGATGTCTGAGTTAAAGTAGTTTAATACAGTTTCTTACTTGATCAAATCGGAAGTTGTTAAATTTTCAAACCAAAATGTAGAAATTCATTACCCTAAGTTGGAAAAGTTTGGGAATCAATGGGAAAATGGATCCCTTGTGATTAGTTATATAAATCCTGATATTAGGGTTTTCCAGCATAATAGAACCAGTAGGATATGTATGTGTGCATATAAAGAGATTTACTGTAAGGAAATGACTCGAGTGTTCATGGACACTGAGAAGTCCCAGAATTCTGCAGTCAGCAAACTGGAGGCTGAGGACAGTCAATAGCACAGAGTTCGTCTGAGTCTGGAGGCCTCAAAACTAGGGAACTGATGGGGAAGTTCCAGTTCAAAATAGTCAAGTTGGAGACCTGAGTTCAAGACCAAAGTCCCAGCACAAGAAGGGTTTCCTCTTCCTTAGCCCTTGTGTTCTGTTCAGGTCTTTGATTGACTAGATGGCCCACCCGTATTAGGAAGGTTAATCTGCTTTATCAGGCTAACGATTCGGAAACACCCTCCCAGACATAGCCAGAGGTCTGACCAGGTGTCTGGGCGCCTCATGGCACAGTACAGTTGACATTAGATAAGCATCACATGATTTCGCTAAGCACCTTCCAGTCACTACATGAAAGGCAGTCAACAAACACTTGAGTGTTTGACTCCGACACTTGTTTCTTACACATCAATAGCTAATCATCAAGATTTTTGCCAACATCATGAGGATACCCATATAAACATACCCATATGTTTAAGACTTTTGACAATACATTATGAGAAATTAGTCCTGAAGTCTTGGGAAGGCAGAAAAACAAGGCATATTCATTCATTCATTGTGTATCCTTTAGTCAGTCTACAAATAGCATGATCCCTCTTGGTATGGCCCAGAGATTCCCAGGGTTCAATCACTGTCCTGCAGTTTGAGTCCTGCTTTCCTAAATAAATTCAATATTCTGGCCCTGCTTTCAGCAAGCAGCTACATTGATTGGGAAGATGAAAACACAATTAGTAATTCTAATATAAATTACAGTATAAAACAATGCTGGGGGGATTTATCATGGTACTCAAGTTAAAGCATCCTTAGCTGTTTTTGATCCATCCTCCTCAAGCTTCCAATGAATAAATAGAGATCTTGAGAAATACATAATGACTTGCTCACAGGCAGGTTACTAGTTAAGGAAGTTCAGAGGAGAATTTTAGACTGGATTTTAATAGTTCTCACAAGGATGTGCCCAGGCTCGTTCTCTCTGCATGTCTGCTTTTTCTCGTTTTAAACTGGCTTTGTCTGCTCTACTTGCTTGTTGCCCACAGATGGCCTACAGAAACGCCCTGCCCCAAGGAGAAGTGTCTGGGTTGGGCCTGTCTTTATCAGCTGTGTATTCTTGATCTATTCAGCTGTCCTCAGCCCCACAGCTGAATAGCCCTCCCTTAACTGTGACATCTCAAAAATGTGGCTATCCCTGTGTTATCTAGCCTGGGCAAGGATGTGCGTTAGTGTCCAGAAGCCAGGAGTCCACTAAGCAGAGCGAGCTTTATGTATGACGGGAAAGAGGCCTCCTTCACAGTGCAGATGGATTTTACCCTGTAGCTTCCAGGGAGACTACGAAAAGGTGCATTTTGTTTTCTAACCACTGTACTCATCATCTAAAAGTAACACTCAGTGGAGAGGAGAACATTACCTAAATTGTACCATGATAGAGACGAGGGGACATTTTGACCAACGTGGTGGGGGGGAGCGTCTGACAATATCTGGAAACCTTTCGGTTGTCTCACTGGGAGGGACACTACTGGCATCGAGTGGGGGTTGGAAACACCCTACAGTGCGCAGAACTCACAGGAACTGTGTGGGCCAGAATGGCCACGGCACCAAGGTTGAGGCGTCTCCGACTAGACCCACAGTGGAGCCGTGTACTCGTTACTCAGCCTCTCGGTGAGATTGCGCGCTGCTCTTAACTAAGGAGGCAGAAACAAATGTAATTTATTTTTAAAGATTTATTTACTTATGCATGCAGAACTGGGGTACAGGCCAGAGGTAGAGGGGTGGTGAGAGGCTGCACCAGAGACAGAGTGGGGAGCAGAAGAGGCAGACCGATCAAGTCCACTGCTGAGGGGAGCAGCGGGCCGGTCAGGAGAGGTCTGCGGCGCCAGGTGGGTCACCTCCGGGGCGGGGATCGAACTCATGGGGAAGTGGCTTTAGCTTCTTCGTGCTGTGCTCTAACCCGCTGTGCCACCAGGGAGGGCCCACATTGACCTTTTTTTTAGAGCACTTATTCTGGAACATCCTTCAACTTGGGTTTCTGTGTGGCTGCCTCATATTAGGCGCAGCTGGTGACAGGGCTGTCACGGTGCAACACTGTGTGATCAGAGCACCGCATCAGGGAGCTGGATGTCACTTGGCCACTTATTTGCCGTGTGAGCTTCAGTTTCGGTGTTATGTCATTGAACTTTTTCTAAGCATAAATATGTTTATGGCTCATTAGTTTCTTTGTCTCCTCAAGGGTTCCCTCAGGTAGAAGTCTCAGGAGAGTGTGTGGCACAGGGCTCTCCTCAGGAGGGAGATGTTTCCTGATTGCATCACTGAGCTCCTAGCCCCATTCATGGGTCGAGGAAAGGAGCCATGAATAGATCAAATACGGTCCTGTTCTTTGTTTATCTTCTGACCTCCTTCACCCATTTGCCCTGCCCTTTCTCTGGCAGCCATCACCCTGCTCTCTGTATCAATGAGGGGTTTTTTTGGTTTTTGTTTTTTGATGTTTTTAGAGTCCGCATAAAAAGGAGATCATGCAGTGTTTGTCTTTTTATTTGTTTTTTTTAAAGATTTATTTATTTGTGCATATGGAACTGGGGTCCAGGCCAAAGGCACAGAGGCAGTGAGAGGATTCACCAGAGCCAGAGTAGGGAGCAGAACAGACAGATCGACCAAAACACACTGCTGAGGGGAGCAGCGGGGAGACAGGAGAGGTCTGCTGCGCCCTGTGGGTGACTCCCGGGAGGGGATCGAACTCGGCTGCAGTGGCTGTGGTCAGCCTACCAAAAACAACGTATATATAGATTCAATGCTATTCCTATAAAAATTTCAATGACATTTTTCAAAGAAATAGAAAAAATGCTGATGAAATCCTTCTGTTATTTCTTAACCCACCACACCTTGTACCCCCTGGGCTTCTTTCCCCCTTTAACTTGAGAGCCCTCACAGTGTTGATTAATGTCCATTTACTATACTTTGTCAGATCACCTGCTATGTAAATGTCCAGTATTTTTGTCCTTCTGACTTGCTGTACTGCACATAATTCTCTCAGACTCCCTCCATTTTGCTGAAAATGCTGCATTTCTTTTTGTTTATGGCTAAAAAACATTCCATAGTGTGGATAGACCTCATCTTCTTGATTCAGCTGTCTGCTGATGGACATTTAATCTGCTTCCCTGTCCTAGCTATGGTAAATGGTGCTTCAGTAAACACTGTGAGCACGTATTTATTTGCACTGATGGTTTCATGTTCTTTGGAGCGATGCCTGAGAGTGTGATTGCTGGGGGGGTATGGTATTTCCATCTTTAGTTTCTGAGGTAAATCACAATTGCCCTCTGATAACAAATCTGTTGTCATCCCCACCAACAGGGTAATCGGGGTCCTCCTTCTCCCCATGCTTGTCAGCACCTGTTGCTGGTCTTTGCCTTTCTGTCTGGTTCGTTTTCCTTAGCATACTGTCCTTCAGTCGGTCTCTGTTGTCGTGGAAGATTTCTTTTATGTGGCTTAGTCATATTCCTGTGTGTGTGTGTGACTTTTTTCATCCATTCATAGATGGGTTATTTAGGATGTTTTCCATATCGTGGCTGTTGGAAATGATGCCGTGAACATGTGGGTGTCTA